ATGTATATTTATATTGGAATATCAATATATTGTACTTTTTTTAATACTTATTTTTAAAAATATGTCATATTTGCATGAAAGCATGCATAATTTTCTAAATTTAATTTTTATTAGAAATAAATAAATAAAAATTTTAGTACTGACATTGTTATAAAATATAAAATTATTTATCAAATAAAACTTATATTTTATTTGCAAGAAACATATATTTTATTTGCATAAAATTTTAGTACTGACATTTATAAAAAAACATATATTTTATTTGCATCAAAAATAAAATTATTTATCAAATAAAAATTTTTTTGTCATCGTCATACCGCATTTAATTGCCCGTTACCGCCCGCTACCGGTATTATATCCGTTCGTATTAGTTCGTTTCCGTATACCGGGATGTCCCGCAACCGTTCCCGTTCCCGTTCCCGTTCCCGTTTCCGGTCAAAACATATGAGAACGGAAACGGTTTAGGGGGTTTCCCGCCCGTTCCCGTCCGTTTTCATCCCTAGTTGGACAACCTGAACTGGCTTCCCAGTGGCACTCCAACCGGCTTTGCAATATCCATTTTGAATCTGCACAACACCTTCTCAATATAATCAGATTGAGAAAGCCAAAGTTTACCAGCATTTCTGTCCCTCGTTATTTTCATGCCCGGTATTTGTCTCGCTTCTCCTAGATCCTTCATATCAAATCTCCTTGATAGCTGATCTTTGAGCCTCTCGATCTCCTTGACATCTGATCCTGCTATCAGCATGTCATCCACATATAACAGTAAAATAATGAAAGAGTTACCGAACCTTTTCACATAGCAACAATGATCAGCATTACACCTGGAGTATCCAATCTCCAGCATGAAATTATTGAACTTTCGATACCATTGTCGAGGAGCCTGTTTCAGTCCGTACAAGCTCTTCTTTAGGTGGTAGACCTGCTGATCATTTCCTCTATACCCCTCTGGCTGCACCATATAAATTTCTTCCTCGAGATCCCCATGCAGAAAGGCTGTCTTCACATCTAACTGTTGCAACTCCAAATTTTCCGCTGCTACCATGCTTAACACTAGACGAATAGTGGTTAACTTAACAACAGGTGTAAAAACATCGGTATAGTCAATACCGTATCTCTGTTGGAATCCCTTTACTACAAGTCTGGCCTTGTATCGCTTCGTCCCATCTGATTCCTCCTTGACCCGATAGACCCATCTGTTTTGAAGAGCCTTCTTTCCTTTTGGGAGATTACACAAATCCCATGTGTGGTTCTTCTTCAACGAGTTCATCTCGTCGTCCATCGTAAGTTCCCATTTGCTCTTGTGGGCATCTTTAACTGCCTATTCATAACAGTCGGGGTTCCCCAGAATCAGATAAAAGTAGGTAATAAAGAGAAGGGGAGTACCTATCCGGGGCCCTTCTCATCCTCGGTTCTCAGCCCAGTGCTAGAGGCGTGCTGCTCTTAGCAATCGGTTCATCCGGTTCTGGTTTTGCCTCTTCTTCGGTACGCTCGATCTCATCTATATGAGCTCCCACTGAATCTGCTGGTCTCATGATTTTGGCATTTGAAATATCGAGACCAACATACTCCTGCATGGTTTTGTCATCGTCCGGGTATTCCTTCCGGTCCTTGTACATTATGCCTTCATTGAACACCACATTTTGACTGCGAATAATTTTTCGATTTTGATCATCCCAAAATCTATACCCAAATTCGTCAGTCCCATATCCAATGAATGTACATTTGACAGACTTAGCATCCAGCTTTGTCCGGTCGTCGTTCAAAACGTAAGACAAACAACCAAAGGTACGTAAGAAAGAGAGATCAACTTCCTTACCACTCCAGACCTCTTCTGGAATTTTGTTGTTCAGTGGGACAGAAGGCCCTCGGTTGATCAAGAAAGCGGCCGTGCTGACTGCTTCTGCCCAAAACATCTTGGGCAGTCCACTCTTCAATCACATGCATCTCGCACGCTCATTCAATGTCCTGTTCATCCTCTCCGCAATGCCATTTTGTTGAGGTGTCATTGGGACCGTCTTCTGCATCCGGATCCCATGATCAGCGTAGTATTCTTTGATGGCTTCACTGTTGTACTCGCCACCGTTGTCGGATCTGAGACATTTCACTTCCAGACCTGTCTCTTTCTCCACGAGTGCTCTCCATCTCCTGAAAGTATAGGCTTCGGATTTTCTTTTCAGAAAGTACACCCATACCTTTCTTGTGCAGTCATCGACGAACGTCATGTATTACATCGATCTTCCAAGAGATGTCACTGGTGCTAGCCCCCATAAGTCAGTGTGCACGAGCTCCAGTTTTTCTGTCTTTGGAGCTCTCCCAGTGGTTATGAAGCTCACTCGCTTCTGCTTTCGAAGCACGCATTGCTCGCAGAGACCCACGTCCACAGACTCCAACTCGGGCAAAAGTCCTCTTGACTTTAGTACCTTCATTCCTTTCTCGCTCATGTGGCCCAAACGACTGTGCCACAAGTGCGATTGTGAGACAGCTTCTGCCAGGAGAATGTTTGAGCTGGATCCACTTGCCGTGTAAAGCGTTCCTGACTTTAGCCCTCTTGCCAAAGTCATAGCTCCTCGGCTGACCTTCCACTTTCCATCTCCAAACATTGTGTGGAAGCCGTCATTGTCCAGCTGTCCAACTGAGATGAGATTCCTCTTCAGTCCTGGAATGTGCTTCACATCCCGTAGGGTCCAGCACGAACCATTTGCGGATTTGATTTGCACATCTCCCTTCCCTACAATTTTTAGGGATTTGTTGTCTGCAAGATATACCACGCCAAAATCACCTGCGGTGTATGGCTCCATGATGTCTCTGCTACTACAAGAGTGAAATGAGGCCCCTGAGTCCACGATCCAGTCATCGAGCGAGCTTTTCACACTCAACAAGAGTGCATCTGCCGTGTCCTCCGTCGCGACATTAGCTGTCCGGCCCTCTTTATCCTTCTTCGGTGCCCGACATTCGCTTTTCATATGCCCAGGCTTCTCGCAGTTCCAACACACCATTTCTTTCTTGCCTTTAATCCTCCCCCTGGATTTTGACCTCCCACTGATTTTCCCTCGTGTTTCGGGTCTGCCTCTGGACTCTGTATGTAGGGCTGAGCTAGACGACCCACCCGCCTGATTTCTGCGGGTCTCCTCGTTCAACATCATATCTCTTATGTTGTCGAACTTCATCTTCTCCTTGCCAGAAGAAGTGCTCACCGAAGTAACAACCACGTCCCAACTGTCTGGCAATGATGAGAGCAAGATTAGGGCTTTTACCTCATCATCAAACGAAATATCCACCGATGCCAACTGCGTCGTGAGTTGGTTGAAATTGTTGAGATGATCGGCCACTGACTTTCGCTCCTCCATTTGCAATTTGAACAGCTTCTTCATCAGCATTACCTTGTTTATTGCTGATGGTTTATCATACATGTCGGCGAGTGTCTGCAAGACCTCCTTCGTGCTTTTCACATGGTAGGCGACGTTCCGAGAGAGCGAAAGAATTATGGCGCTCATCGCCTTCCGATCGAGCACCTTCCATTCATCATCGCTCATCTTCTCGGGCTTTTCCCCAAGAGGTGCGTAGAGGTCCTTCCCGTACAGGTAAGCCTCCATTTGCATTCGCCAGAATCCAAAGTCGGAACCATTGAACCGTTCGACTGGAATCTTTCCCTCCAACTTATCTCCAACCTCCTGGCTCTGATACCAGTTGTTTGGAAATAAGGTCGAATAAGATGGAATAATAATAACACACCAATGTGAAATCGATAAAAGACACGAAAGCTTGTTAACCCAGTTCGGATTAAATCCTACGTCTGGGGGCGAACCAAGCCAGGAGAATGAACTAGAAGAAGAGGATAAACCGAATGTTACAACTCACACAAGCCCGTATGAATACACTCTCTCAACTCTTTTCTCTCTCTATCTCTCTTGTTATGTTTTCTTTTGTTGTTGTGTTTTACATTCATCAAGTTTCCTCTATTTATAGAAGAAAAGTGAACCTCTTTTTCAACAAAGTTGTGCTGTAAATTTTCCACAAAAGAAAGCTTCATTTTTCCACACATGTGTGCTGCTGCCTTTCTTTTATTTTCTTCCTTGGCAGCTTCAAAGAAAGTGGGCTTAATTGCCCATTTTGACTCAACAATCTCCCACTTGAGGACTGATTTCA